ATGAGCCTGTTTTACTGTGGGCACGTAACGCTGGGTGTTCATCTTATCGCATCCTTACAGCCCTTTTGTACAATTCATCATTAAAGCACAAGAGAAAACACACTGAAAGGGCCACACTGAGGCACTGGGAATGAGATCACTAGCTTTGCTACTGATTGGAGATGTTTATGTGACAGCAGAAATAACATCTTCATAGTAATATGTGGGAAAATCTAAGTCAAGCAAATACATTCAGCTGAGTTGTGTGGCTAGGAAAGGGTGATGGATGATGATAGGAATGCGTTGAGACGGCAGACACCTCACCCATTAATCTGCAGAACTGCACTGTCTGTGTCTGTTTGCATGGCAACACCAGCTCCCCATTACTCATTTAGCTGCTGCCCATTATCAGTCTGTTGATGGTATTTGCCTCTAAAAGATTTGGAGGGTACTTTTGCTTCCCTTCTAAAACCCTTACAAGCTCAGTGAGGTGACAGTTCTGAGTGGTAAAGCCACTGAATTGCTGCACTTAACATATTTTATATAAAAGGATCCTGAATGCGGCACCCCTGAGCCTTTCAGAAAATGCTAAAACCTATTTTGCTACAATTAAGCAGCCCATTTAGGAATGCTGTGATGTTGCAAAGGCCGGAAACTGTCGGGAGTAATGAAAACATTTGTGTCAAAATGCAAAACTTTAATTATTTCTTCAGTCAACTGTTGTAAATTGTATCTGCAGTAGGAGATTTCAAGTGGTGGCCTGAGTGTACCTGTAAATTGCAGAAAACAACTCTTTTGACCTATGGTATTTGAAAATGCTCTTGTGAAGACGGTACAGTACATGGCTGTAGGCTGGTGTTGTGGTTGTGACTCTATGAGCAGTCATCTGTCACATGTCCGTTACTGCGCCTTTCATGTGTGAAACGCTGTTCAAAAGTGTAAGCAAGCCTTCCTCACAGCTATTGTAGGGGCTCTGCGCAGGATGGATTAATGGTGAATAAATATCAGTCGTCATTTATTATCTTAGTACAAGTGCAGGCTGAAGTGTTTACTGTACCTACCCAGCAAAAAATATGATTTTGTCATTTATAAACAGACAGATAGCTTGAAGCTTGAAAGCTGGAGACAGGCTGAGTGTTGATAGGCATACTGTAACCCACAACCATTACCTGTGCCATTCAAATGATGAAACAAAGCTTCGCTAATGACAGGAGTATTAACGTGAAGGACAGTTCAAATTTTATTCATGAATCATTCTTTAAAGGTAGATTATGTAATGATGTGGTCATCCCCATGTCCAGGAATGATGGTAGGTGTGTGCAGATGATACTTAACAGTTTTATGGTGAATTTTGAGCTGCATCTCTGACACCCAGCACTTGGCCAACCCGAGCAGAGGACATTGTTAACCATCAGTCAGCATGGCACTCATCATGTTGCCAGCTTTCTGTGACCAGACTTCTCTGGTAATTTCAGGACACTAATGAACCGTTTTAGCTTGTCTCCATGCATTGAGCCTCAGCCAGGGTTCAATCTGGACTGTGCTCATTCTGGCACTGAAGTCTAAAGCTGATTTTTCTTTTATTTGGCCAAACTGACCAGATCTGGCTTCAGATCTCATTGCTTCTGTATGTGTATCCATAACTGTGTAATTATTCCGACACAGAGATAAACAAACCTCAAACATCATTTGTAATCAAACAACAAGCAAGGCCAACATTCCTCATTCAGGTGAGGTGTCTTTCTACATTTCAACAAATTCTTATTTGGAAAAACAGGCAAACATAGTGCCATCGTATCCAGTTGCAGAGCCTCAGCCTCACTTCCATCAGCTGTAGTTCTAGACCTTCACAGGCTGATGTGAGAAAAGTAATAACTTCTGCAGCTTCTAACACTTGCCACGTGGAGGCAGCTGTTGTTTGTCTGTGTCCTCCTCCAGGACCATCCCCCTGGATAAGTTGGATAGGGAAGAAGAGATTTTACATGTACAAACACAAAAACGTGGATGAGATACAGAGACCAAAAGAAAACAATGTTTTATAAGTATAAACTTGACTCTTTGTGAAATAAGATTAGATTACAAGTACAAGGTAACGAAATACAGTTTAGCATCTAGTAGTCCACAATGAGCTCCTTGGTCTTGTTGGTGTTAAGGAGCAGGTTATTGTCAGCGCACCACACAGCCAAGTGCTGTACCTCCTCCCTGTAGGCTGTCTCATCATTGTCACTGATAAGTTCAACTAATTTCAGATCATTTCAACTATGTTGTTAGCATAATACTTAGTCTAAATCCACAAATAACACAACGCCGGCTATAAAACAATGAAAACAATGCCGTTGTTCAGTAACACTCATTCTCAGTGGGTGGGACAAGTGTTACAATGGCAGCATCTATTCCATTCCTGTAGGTGGTGTGGGCTGGCATGTATAGGGCTGGTCTGGGAATAACAAAACAGCTCCTTCTTGTGGAGAATCTGAAGTCTATTAAAAGTAAATGAGTGGGTGATTCCATGAGGTCCTTCACATGCAAATATCTGACTCAAATGATCAAACAAAAAAAAATCTAAAATCTCTCTCCTACAGGGTGCCCAGTAGATCCTAGCAGGAGAAGGACAGTAGACGTGATGCCGTCTCCTTCTCACATCATCACACCTCGCGAAATCACCAGTGGCTTCAAAGGAGGAAGCCTGTCCTCCAGAAGCATCTTCCAGCTAAATGGCAAGCACTTTAAATCACACCCTACAGAATCCTTCTAGCATATGTTTTTCATCTACTCACCTTTCAGTGATTGTATAAGTACATGTGTATATGTGTGTTCTGTGCCACATATTAATTAGTGTCCTTCATTTGAGCAGCGACCATGCTCCTTCTTTAATCAACTCGGCCAGATCCTTTTCACATTCTGTCTGATGGCTGCACTACTGAATCGCTCAATTTTCAGCCTAATTGAGCTTGCAGAAGAATCTCTGGTGGCTAGCCACAGTCCTGTTTGAAAATTGTGTTTGTGTGTGTGTGTGTGTGTGTGTGTGTGTGGCCATGCACACATGCACACTGGGGTACCCGATTGTTTCCTGAGTTCAAAAAGCAGTTGCCAGTCAGCTGGTGTGTCTTCCTAATTTTGCGCACACACACACACACACACACACACACACACACACAGTAAGCGGTCTGAGAAGATAATTGCTTATAATGAAATAAAGTAGGTCTGGCAAGTTTTAAATGACATCACAGTCTAAGGAGAACGTGCATACATACCTTAGAAATGCTCTATTGTTATATTTCACAAACATTTGCTCATTGCTCATAGCACAATACATTTTAATGCTGTATGCTGGTGAACATTATGCACTTGGAAGCCTGTGCCATATAAAACATGTTTACACATGAATTCATGCATATAGTAGGTTCACTCCATGTATTCTCCAAAGTGTTGCAGTAATGTATTCACAGCTCTTGTTACTATGCTAACACGGCCTGTTCACTGTTTGCTTTGCTTCCTACCTATCTCACTCTCCTTCCCACCGCCGCCTCCTCTCCACTAAACCTTTTTCTTTTTCCACTTTTTCCTTTCTCCACTCCACAGCCCTGTTTCCATTTAAACATACAATAAGCCTAATTGCCTTCGCCAGAGTCCTGTTGGAACAGTAACACACTGAACAGAGCAGCTGTTTTGTATTTGAGCGCATGTGAGCGTGCGTATGTGTGCACAGTCACACTCCTGTCTCTGAAAGAAGTGGTGTACAGTAGCTAGACGTTATCTGATTAGGTGACTGGCAGTCAACCCAGTGTCTCTTTGATAAGGAGACTTGGGAAAAATATCTTGGGATAAAAAGAGATATTGAAAGAGGGTAACAGAGAGAGAAGCGAATATCCAGGAGTTTATGTCTGTGTTTATGTTTATGGCTCCAGCCATAAGACCTGCAGATAGGTAATCATGTCCTAAAATATATAATATATCAAAATAGATTAACTCAAAAACAGTAAATGGAACAAAAATATATTTAATGCATATTTTTCCTTTTCATGTTTATGTTCATATTTCAGGTTTAGTTGAATATACTGAGTTTTGGCTGATTGTTTGGATGCACTTCTGGTTACATGTTACTGGTTGTTGTTGCGTTTATCAGTTCATGACGGTGGCCACTGCAGCTAAAAGAAACCGCTGCAGAATAACAAAACTCCAGCAAATGAAGAAAACATCTTCATCACTTTGACAATACATACATCACACTAAGAAAATAACACGGCCAATAAGTAAAATACAAATAAATATTGAGACACCAGTTTGACAGCACATATTAAGAATAACTGCAAACACAGAAAACACAAGCAAATACACAAACACTGCAAGTACAGTAGTACAGAGAAATGCATGAATAAATTACAGCACAAACGTTTCCAGGTTTAACAGTTCACCAAGGAAATGGCAGAAACTGGCAGACAGCTGAAGTTCAACAGGTAAAGAGGATCGAACCAGGTGAACCAAGCCTCAGTGTGTCCATAAACAGGGCTCAGAAACAAGCAAACAGTCTGAGCCAAGCAACTAATTTGAAGGTGCAGACGAAAGGCAGAATCCAGCAAACAGAAACAGAGTCCAAAACATGAGCGAATCCAAACAACCAGTTTTCACAGGAACACGGGAACAAAATGGAGGCTACAGAAAGCACAAAGCTATGAGATAAGCACATCGGCCAGAGTGGCAAAAAAGAGAAGTGGGCTAGGGTGGGTCAGGGTTTGGTGGTGAGCTTTAGGGCACAGATAACCTCAGGTGGCCGGGGAGCCACAGGGCAGAGCAGCCAAACAAGACCACTGAAGAGTACAGGACCTGACAGAAGGCAGGAGTCTTTCTGGAGGACAGCGGTTCTGACTTCAGCAGAGCTGCTCAGGAGTATGGCCCAAAACTGGACAGGAACCCGCAACCGCTGAAAAGGATGGCCCCAGAACCAGACGCAAAGCTGGCGCCACAGTCATGAGGAACCTGAGGTGGCTCAGGAGGGTGGCCTGTAATATGTCTGTAATTTTTATAAATTCGGTTTATTGTCTATCTTTAAGCTGTTTAATGTTTCCAAAGAGCTTACATAGGCCTCATGTCTGTTTTTCTCTCTCATACTTAGAGTAAAGCTGGTTTCAGGCATTATAAATATGATATGGGCAGCTCTGAGTTTCAGGTTTGTTTGTTAATGTGTAACTGTTGTTCAAAGTACAGGATTAGGCAAATTTTCTTGTCAAAGCCTTTAAAGAGCTTGGGCTGATACAGCCCAAATGAGGATGGATTATTTGGTAAGTAGCAGATGAATCAGGTGTTACAATTAGGTTTTTTGGTGCTTGCATAGCCATGGAGGTGAAAGATAATTTGGGAGGAGAGAGTGACTCTGTTTTCCCGGCAGTAGGGCTTTGGCCCAGTTGTAGTACTGCCAGTGGTTTGACTGGACTGTTGTTGTCTGTGTACAAGCTGCTGTTTCTTGTGCTCCGACAATACTTTAATCTGTCAGTGCCTTCCTCCCTTGGACATTTGGAGGGTTTTTATAACATATGGTCAAAATGGCAGCGAGATTAGATTCCACTCTGTTCAGTAAATATATTCATGATTATGGCCTGTTTCTCCTTCACAGCAAGGAACACTGCACAACCACACAGACTGGAGATAGATGAGGATCGCATGCCATTGTTCAGACGTGGGATCAGAGTTGACACCGTGCCCGGAGAGCACAACCTAAATGAGCCCGACGCCATGCACCACAAGCTCAGCTGCATGACTGCTGTGCATCAGCGGGAGGGCAAGGAAGGCGTTAAAGCAGTTAAGGTCACACTGAGGTCAATCTTTGCACCTGAGGGAACCAAAAATATCTGCTTATCTCTAAAGCTGGGCCACAATATTCAGGCCTTTTGTGTTTTCCTCACTTAAATCTCAAACCAACAAGAGCACAACAGCTTTTATTCTTGCTCTGTAGCGTCTCATAAGAGGTGTAGAGCATCTTCCAGACAACCCGCCAGTGTTACGGTTCTCATAGTGATGTGCCCTTCAGCCATTTTTGTTTTAGTGACTGTACAAGTAGGTGTTAATTGTTCTTTTACCCAAAGGCACATCTTGTAGGCTATACCTTCACTACATGTTAAATGTGATTTTGGCTGTGGTACATTCCTGTCTCAGACATTTTACACATTACATTTCCTCTTGCTTCACACCCCTCTAACAGCCAATACAACATGGAATATAACTGAGTTTTTCTAACACAGAAAAAAGATTTTTAGAGTTGCTTTGCAGTTCAATTTCGATTGGACTTTTCTGGGCTGATAGCCATAACTTAATTTGGACCAGGTTTATCCCCGGCATTTTAATGAGCTATACCTGTGGAAGACCTGAATATTTTATTATCTCACACGCTTGGCTTTACCACCCTGATTCTGAAACTTAATTTGAGGTGTTTACCTACTGTCCACAATCCCTGGCATCATGTAGTTTATTGTACTTTCTATAGCAATAAAGGGATTTTAATCCAATACTGCACCATGTTAGTAGATTCAAATTTACTCGGATTATGTAGTTAAAATTGTGATGGACAGACACACAACCACCTTTTCTATTCTGCCATCTGCTTTGGAACTTGGTTGTGCAAACAAAATATGAAAATGTGAGAAAATATTGTATATACTGTTCATTCCCTTTCTAAATCCCAGTTCTCAGCATTCCAAGGTTACTTGGGTTGATATTTTTCTGAAAAAAATACAGTATATATAATTGTCCTAAAAGGTTTTGAAAAGGTGACCCTGTCCTGCTTGCAAAGTGTTCATTACAACTACAGCATGCTCTAACTAAATCATAATGTAGCCTTGGGTGTACTGAAGAAAATATTATGAGTATTATTATATTGGTTTTGGCCATTTTCTCAGTTTCAGTTATAAAATTATTATTAATCTTGGGTCAGTTTAGCCAGATTATCTAAACCAGGAGGTTTCAACCAGTGATCCATGACCCCCTGGTAGTCTGCAAAAGCATTGCCGGTGGTCCCTGATAATGCATTCAATAATGTGCTTTCACTAGACCGACAGCAGTGGTCCTCAGGTTGCTTCTTAGTCAGAATGGTGATCCGTGGGTCACAATTAGTTGAAAACCCCTGATTTAAACCACTTTATTTGGAAGTAAAATAGGAGAATGAGTAAGTATAGCTGAAATGTTGGCTATATTATCTTTCACTGCACAATAAGTGTGCAAAGTGCAGCAAGTACTGTAGGCTAAAATTGAAGCAGGAAGTTGTTTTGTCAACCCCAATGGATCTTTGGGTAATAATTTTACACATTTAACAAAAATTTTATTGTGTTGTCTGGTGTTAACACTGAAGCATCTTTTTCAGCCTTTGCCATTGTTCTTCGATATTAGGGTAGGACTAAGGAGGCCCAGTTAGCCAGAGAACTTCAACAGATCAAGCCTGGTGAAGATGGCAGCAAGGCAGAGAGCATCGCCAACATGCTGAGCCAGGCCATCACCACTCAGCACCTGCTCTACGCCAGCCTGGGCTGTGCTGAATACATGGAGTTTGTCCTTAAAAATCCCTTTAATGTACCTCAGACCGTCACTGTCCACAGTGATGACCCTGAGCTCAGGTAAGACTCTGTGAATAGTGAGCGCCAGGCTGGCACCTCACCCTCAACTGTTTGTCTAATGTCGTAATATTTTCCAACAGAACAAAGAAGAAATCTGAAAAAAACTATAATGTGTTTGTCACGTGTTTCATTTATAAATTTGGGTGGATTTTACAAGTTTATAGTTGTGTCGCCAGTTTAACACTCCAGCTGTGAGCATGTGATTCTGTACTGTATGTGTTTTCTATCATCGGACCGTAACAAGCATGCCCCACCATGAAGCTGTGTTCACACATCCAGAATGTGTTTCCAAAGGTGATGGTGTAGCTCTGGAGACAGTTCTTAGAACCTATTTTCATCCTTCTTTACGATATAATGCAACATACTCACAGAATGACCCTCCCCAGTGTGAGACACATCCAGTCCAAAATCCTCCCCCATTTTGGCATCGAGGATTGTCTGTAAGACTGTGTGAATACAAAACACTAAACAATAGAGGGCAATCAAGCAACATTATTGAGGATACAATCCATCATTAACACAAAAAGAAGAAGAAAATAAATGACCCTCTACACTCTTGTCATAAATCTTTATACACTGTTTCTAGCCTGTTGTTAGTGCTGTGTATAACAAGTTGCAGGTGGCATTTCATCCTGTACTGAATTAATTTACTATTGACCAGTTCTTTGGTCTTCTTTTGGAGGGTTATTTCAGAAAAACAATCTGTGAAATGTCAGGTGATGCTCATAATACTGTCAGATTGTTCATGATGCTGATTCATTCCTTCCTATTATTACTATGAGAAGATTATGACACTTTAATTGCATTCCTCCTTGTCTGCTCTGCACTCTGATATACTACACTGGGCATTGTTTCAGCAGTGCTGTCCAGCTTTAGCTGCTGTCAGTTAGCTGCACGTCAGAGGTGGCAAAAGTACACACAGTCATTACTCAAGTAGAAGTAGAGATACTGTACCTATGTAAAAGAAAGACTATGGTAAAAGTAAAAGTCCCTCCATCCGTCCATTATCTATATGCTTACACTCACTCCTAGGGGTAATTTTGAGTCGCCAGTCAACCTAAGCTTCATGTCTTTGGCCTGTGGGAGGAAGCCGGAGTACACAGAGAAAACCCGCGGAGGCACAGGGAGAACATGCAAACTCCACACACAAAGGCCCCGGGTCGGCTGGGACCTTCTTGCTGTGAGGCGACAGCACTAACCAACGCACCACTGTGCCCTAAAATTAAACATACTGATTCAAATGCTTTATTCAAATAAAAGTAAAAAAATAAAAAAGTACAAGCTCTGAAGTGTATTCAGAGAATGATAGTAAAAAGTAGCCCTTCAAGGCACATTTCTACTAGCTGTTTCTGAGCCGTTTCCCAGTATATTAAACCATTCTAACATCAGAATAAAACAAAAAATGTACCAAGAATAATTAAAATTAACTAATGAGAAGACTTTTAGCTCTAATTAAACCTTAAAGAATAAGGCCAGCCATTTTCTATAGTCTTTTCAACAATCCCCATACATAGACTAAAGCCAGCTATGATGAACTGCATCTACTCACAGTTAATGTCTTTCAGTCTCCGACCTGGATTAGCTTGTGTGTCTGCGCCTTAACCCTCTGCTGTTGTTCAAAAATGATTAAAAACACATCAGTGAAACACACTGCTGCACTGGGTGACATGTTTCTTCATTATGAAACACAAGACCATTATATTTGTTTAATATGTTGCCCCAGAAGTTTCAAATGACCATAACCTTTAAACTTTTTGTTTTTTCTGAAGCAAAGCAAAACTTAACTGTGCCTGCACAGGCTCTTCATAACCTATTATTATCTGTATTTGTTATTGAAAGCATGAGGAGCTAGCAGACTGTGAACAAAGCAGATAGCTTGCAAAGAGTAAACATGTCACCCATAGCAGCGGTGTGCGCACTCTACAGCAAGTGCTAAATAAATATAAGTAATAGTTCCCTTCAGTTCCATCCATCCATCCATCCATCCATTTTCCTCCGCTTATCCGGGACCGGGTCGCGGGGGCAGCAGTCTAACCAAAGATGCCCAGACTTCCCTTTCTCCAGACACTTCCTCCAGCTCCTCCGGGGGAATACCGAGGCATTCCCAGGCCAGCCGAGAGATTGTGATTCCCCCTATTGTTGGAACACACCCTCCGGTCCCCCTTCTTGAAAAGAGGGACCACCATCCCGGTCTGTCAATCCAGAGGCACTGTCCCTGACCGCCATGTGATGTTGCAGAGGCGTGTCAACCCAGACAGCCCCACAACATCCAGAGACTTAAGGTACTCAGGGCAGATCTCATCCACCCCCGGTGCCTTGCCACCAAGAAGTTTCTCAACTACCTCAGTGACTTTAGCTTGGGTGATGGACGAGTCAACCTCTGAGCCCCCGGCCTCTGCTTCCTCATTGGAAGATGTGACACCAGGGTTGAGAAGATCCTCAAAGTATTCCTTCCACCATCCGACAATGTCCCCAGTTGAGGTCAACAGCTGCCCACCTCTACTGTAAACAGTTTTGGCAGGGCACTGCTTCCCCCTCCTGAGGCACCGGACGGTTTGCCAGAATTTCTTCGAGGCTGACCAATAGTCCCTCTCCATGGCCTCACCGAACTCTTCCCAGACCTGAGTTTTTGCCT